CCACCCCCAACCCCAACCCCAAACCCAACCCCAACCCCAACCCCAACCCCAGTTATTTTATAATTCCATAAAAGATTTTGAATTATTATAATGATTACATTACAAGAATTACAATCAATATATAACAACTGTTTCTAATTTCTTCTTCTTCATCATCCATTTTATTCTCTCTTTCAAGAACCTACTCACCTTCCAGCTTTTCTGCTATAGAAATATAAATTGCTTATATAAGATGAGGAAAATGCTAAAGACTATGAATATGATTTTTGAAAATAAATTGCATCCTCTTTCTTATTCTAAAGTTCTTTAAACATAATATACAATTTTTTTTCTACTTTTAATTAAATTTTGAATTAATTTCAATAAGTATAGCTTAAATTGCTTTAAAGACGAGAAATTAATACATAATGTTTAATTTCATAAATTATGAATTTAAAAACTATTTTGAATAAATTTGTTTATGAATTAATAGAAAACGAATCAGTTAGATCATCTCATTATTGTAATTTCATTAACATTAATAAATAAAATAATTTGTTATTAGCATCAGCAAAGGTTCTAACAAAGGTTTATATATTAAGTATGGGATTTCTTAAATAATTAGCATTATGAGGACACTTGATCAATCTATTATAGTATGGTCAAAATAATTATTAGCTTCTTCTAAATATATATAAACATTCAAAACGAATACCATAATGGTGTAGAAGTAGGCAAATGGGATATTTTTTATTATTATGAAGATACTAAGAATAATGAACCGATGTTTTTAACTTAAAACTCCTTATTAATTTAAAGATATTGATATTTTCTTTGACATATTATATCATTATATTTCACCCTCCAATTTAAATATATTCCAATCAAAAAATTTACAAATCAAATTTAACAATATAATTTAAATCAAAATTTTAGAATTTAATGGTCAATAAAATTATTTAGAATTTAAGAAACTTAATTATTTTTGAAATAATAAATCTCATAAATGTTTAAATAAGATCTGTAATTTATGGTTTCAGTTATAAATTCATTGATTAGCAAATTCATATTGAGATAATAGACATGGGATCAGATTCTTTCATCAAAAATCTATTAGTCTACTTTTGATATGATAACATTGTTATATTTTATCTTCCTGTTTTCTATTGTATTAAGTTTATAAAAAAGTGAACTTCAATTATCTCAAATACAATCTTAAAAATAATTTTAATTTATGTTGGATTAATAAATACTAAATAAAAATGATAATTGGTAATAGGACTAACTCATATTTAGTTGAACGCTTTAAAATAGGTTCAAAGAAGGTTTGAAAGGACCCATAACTTATAGTTTTATTGATAGTATCTCATATTTGAAATTGAATACAACAGAGATTTAACGATCTTTTCAGGCACCATTAGTGATTTCATTATTTTATTTGTGAGAATTTAATCTAAGTTAAATATAAATAAGAAATCCGTATTAACTTAAAATTAAACAAATTCATATTTTTAAATAGCAATTATATTAGATTTTAAAATTTCTTGGAATAAATAAGTAATAAACATTCACATTTAGGGAAAATATTAGCCACAAAAATATAGCATGCTTACTGTGAAATTTATCCTTTCATTTTTTCAAAAAATAAAAATAATAATATATAAATAATATTAAATAATCAAATTACTGTAAAATTAAAAACATTCATAAGAAAAAATTAATTTTCTGATTGGAACTAATTTAATTTTTGTTATTCTCTTCAAAAAAGAGCGTTACTGTAATATTTCTTATTATATTTTTAATAATATTATTAATGGTTATAAATCTGTTGAGTTAAGTAAGATTAAAGTTATGAGTGTAAAAAGATATTATTTTTTTAATTTTACTAATTCTACATAGAATAGTTAAATATTGATCAATAAATTGATAATATCAATATTGAATTTCTAGGTATCAAAATTTTATAAGTGATTCCTCATTTTCTATCTCTAAAAGTAATAAAAGCATTTATAATTTTTAATCTCTTATTAGTTATATCTATTCACCTCTTATTGCATCATCTATTTATTCATATACTACTTATTTTTTTAATGTCCAACTATTTTAGACTCTTTTGAATTGATAATATTTAAATCTTTATCATCATTAAGGAAAACTTTTAATGGATTTATTAATTATTCAATATATATTTGCTTAATTAACTATACAGAGGTGAATATATTTAATATTCAAATTAAGATATATATAAAAGTGAAGTTGATAATTTACTTTGTAAATATTTCAATTTACTACTAAAATAAACTCTAACTGCTATTCTAATTTCAATTATTGATTTTTTATTTATATCTTATGAAAATCTCATTTATTATAAGCGTATTCTTTAAATTATAAAATACAATATTAGATATATATATATGTAGTATGAGATAATTTTAGAAATTTATAATTTTCATTCTCTACCTGAGGTAGAAGTATTGCTTTAATAAATAAAGCCAGTGTGGGTTATATAATCTTGGTCTTCTGAATTCTAATATCTATGAAAAAGTATTCATAATTTAGATAAAATCATCCTTTCTTTTTCATAATTTTAAAATCTATATTAATTATGAAGAAAATAAGTAATTAAGTAACTTCATTCTATTAGATAGATCTGGAATAGTTCTTATGATGTTTGTTCTTAATTTGCTTCCATACTTACATTTAATTTAACACATAGTTCTATCCATAATTTACATCTCTGTCAAAACCTTGAAGCAATTTATATGATAAAAATGATTGCAATTTATTTTGACTACATTACCATTATGAATCTACTTGTAACATAATTAAAAAATGCTGATAATTAATAATTTGGATTCACTTTAATATAAAATTCCATTAGATTTAAATTGAATTTCTTATAATTTAATTTACATTTCTTCATTTTCAATAACAGATTTTTAATAATCAAAATCTTATTGGTTTGTATTTGATTGAAAGAGTTAAATAATTTGATCATAATCAGGTTTTTTTCTAACTGATTTTTTTCATAAGATATAAATTTATAAAGAGAATATTTGATTTAATAATTTATATCTAATTTCTTTTTTGACTCTTTATCTCAAAAGATTAGAATTCCATTAAGTTCCACATTTACATTTAATATAATGTCTGTCAAATTATAGAAATTTTTATTTAATTACTTTAATAAAGCACTCATGATAATAATTTATCCCATTTGATTTATAAAATATATAATAAAATTATTGAAAGACAGAAAAATTTACAATTATATTAATATAGTTTATTAATTAAAATAAACTCAATATTAGTACTTCTTAATTTTTAAACTTAAAACTAGCATTCATAAACTATAAATATATATATATGAAAATTCTTATTAATAAATTCTTATATTATTAATCATTATACACCATTGGTAATTGTGTTGTTAAAGGTTTTCTTGATCCATTTATAAATTTATTAATTATATATTTTAAACATAAATCAAATCAATAATTACTTAAATGGTCAGCTAGTTTATAATTATTTATGTTATTATATTGTGATTTGTTAGTAAACATAATTAATATTTTCAATATAAATAGATAACATATAGAATGTTCAATTTGTAATTAACTATTTTGAAGAAATTGAGAAATGATTTAAAGTTGTTGCCTAATATAGAAAATAAGAATTTGGATTTTAATTATTGCATTGTTTTTTAGTTTTTCAAATCCTATTATTATGTCTAATAAATCGAATATCATTTTAAATAAATTATTAATATATTTAATATACATACAATGAATCAAGAAAGAAAACATCACTTTTAAGATAAACATATTGAAATCCTATGGAGAATAGCACAAGGTATGTATAATTCATTAAAATAGATAATCAAATCTAAAATTAATAAATTTAATTTGAATACGTTTAGGCACAATACAATGAAAATTTAGGGTTTGGTTCTGGGGTTGGAGGCATTGTAAAAATGAGTAATGGATAAGAATATTTGGCTTTTCCTGACGAACAAGGTAAAGTAAATATTTTCGTCGATAATTAATGGGTGCCATTAGAAAAAAATTTAGCAGAATTTTAATAATACATCCCGGATTAAATCTAATAATAAATCCCATAATATAATTAACTTAATAATGAACCATCATTATATGTTGAAATAAGAGATTAGAATAACTTCAATAAATATAGAGGACATATAACAGTTAGTGATTATGTATCGCAAACTCAAAGTCTTGGAGAAGAATTAGAGGATTTATATTTAGAAATAGAGAAAAATATTTAAAGCATTTTTGATAAGAATAGCTCTGTATATTTAAATATGACGCATAAAGATCCTTAATTGGAATTCAAATTAAAAATGGCAAAAGGAAAGAAATTAATCGATTTTTTTATACCAATTAAATTAACTTTGGTGGAGTAAAATCAGGAAGAAAGAGAAAAATTATAAAAAGAAATAAAATTAAATAAATAAAATAAGAGATTGGAAAATATTGAATAGAATGTGAACTAATTATAATAAAATTTAACAGACCATAGTTAAAGAATTGGATTCATATCACAAGAACTTGGAAATTAGAAAACAGAACTATATAATAAAATATAAAATGTAGAATTAAATTTTTAGTATCAATACCAAAAATTTCTTCAATAAAAGTAAAATCAATTTAAAAAATTTTCAATAAATCAAATGAAAAAAGTTAAAGAATAAGATTATATCTATATAATTTAAAAACTTAAAGGGTAATGTGAATTTGAATTATTACTTGTTGATGATGAAATTGAATTTTAAGTTGGTATTATAGAAGATGATGATTTGGATAATATTGAAAAGAAAAACAAATCTTATTTTGTCGTATTACCTGATGGAAAATTTACAAGAGGAACTCGAGAGTTTGGAAAATTTTTCACTCATCAATTATAATTAGAAGACAAACTAGGATTAAGAGTTGACACATTTTAACATACATTTTAACTGGTTATTAATGATTATCCTTTTCCTCCAGTCAAAATTAATAAATCAATATAGGAATATTCATTTATTATAAAAAGTTCTGAGAAGTTAAATATATTTGCTGATGACACAAATTAATCATGAATATGATTTGAATATTAATGTTCGTGCAAATATTAAAATTTATTATCCATATGTTCATATAATATATAATCTAAAATGGAAGCATCTTTCAATTTTGTTCACTTTGACTTAAGTCTAAATAGAAGTAAGATAGTTAAAATGAAGGTTGCAAATAACTTTTCAGATTTTGATGAATTGATTTTTTAAATAATTTTTATAATTTAAAGTGAATACAATCTCTTTTCATTACTAACTAAATGAATACAGAATAATAAGAGTATTACCCTATCAAAAAATTTCTCATAAAAAAATAGATTTCAGAAAGATTATTTAATTATCATCTACATTCTCCTTAACATGACTAATAATGAGGTTTTCTTTAGCATTAAAGGAAAATAATATTTCCATTAATCTAGGTACCTTAAGAAAATATGGATTAAAAATATTTGATTAGTTCAAAATATCAAAAAACAGTAGAGAAAATGGAATATATATAAAATTGCCTGAGACTGATGAAAAGTTATTATCAAAAGGTCAATATAGTAGAAACTATTTTTTAATATTAAAGGGTAACATTCATCAAGGAAAAACTCAACAGAAAACAATGAAATAGTAGATAATGATTAATTTATGTTATCTCATCATTAAAATAAAAAAAAAGTTGAATTTTAACAAAATGTTTTAGTCTATGGTTACATAAATTAAACTTATAAGAAAAGAAATAAAGATGGTTCATAAAACCATTGTTTAGAAGATAAAGACAAAAAATTTAAGTGATGATCTTCGATTATTTCTGACAACTTTAAATATAATGGAAAATCTTAATTGAGATAAGCACAAAAAAAAAATTATTAAAAACATTTTATAATAGATACTTTGTAAATGGAAAATGAGAATCAAATACTAAGGAATGAAATGATTATATATCAGATTATAAATATTTAATCTATAAATATTAACTAACTTAAAATTTGTTATTAATTGAAAAAAAAGAAATTGGGTTTGAGAGTACAAAATATTTTCAGGTAAGTTATAAATCATAATAATCCTTTTTTTTCATATAGATTATGTAGAATATCTAAGAATATAATCAAAATATTACAAGATATAATATGAAAATTAATTTTTCAACTAAATAACAAATTAAGTTTATCCTAACTTACTAAATAATGGATCAATATTCAAGCTATAGTTTAAATTATTTATAATTACTTGATTAATTTATTTATATAAATTATTAATTAAAATGTTATAATAAAAACTATTGTTAACTAATTAAATATTAAAATGTTGAACAACAACAACAGAATTCTTAATGTATTCTTTTATATCAAATAATTTTACATACTTTAATATTATTTTTCAATTATAATAATTTTAAAATTTAATAAAATGTCTTCATCTATACATCTTCATATAGGAGGAGCAGATGTAATGGTTGGAGATATCTTATGGAAATTATATTAAAAGAATAAAAGGACAAGAGGCCTCAAGTAATTATTTTAGAAGTTATACTTCGGGTGGAAATCTGATATATGAATGTTTAGAATCTATTCGAAAGGAAAATAGATTATGAAGATCAATCAGGTTTACTATAAAGATTAACAGAGGATTATGGAAAGAAAATAGAAATAATGCATTTGTATTGTATCCTTCCTCATTAATATCAATAACTTTATTGATAGTTATAATGCAGTCTATTCAACTCGTATGATGACTGAATATTGTAGTTCTGTTGTTGCATTTGATAATTAAGCCATCTAGAATGTTATTGATAATTAGACAGGATTGGATTATGTTGTTTATAATTTATTAAATAATGTAATTGCTTAGGTTATTAGCATATACACAGGTATAAGAGGACATAAAAATACTTGTAATAATATGATGTTTTCAAATATGTTTTCATATCCTTCACTTCATTTCCTAATCCCATCATATGGATCAAAGGCTAAGGATTAAATATAAATGAATTATAAATAATCTAGTTTGTAGAAAATTGATTTTTGAAATAAATCATTATTTTAATTTTAATGTTCAACCATATGAAGTTTAATTANTTTATATAATTATATTTCCTCTACTTTAAATATATTCAAGATAATTATATTTGAATTTGTCCTAGTTTGAAAAATGATTCAAAAATTTCAGTAGATGTTTAAATTTGGTTATAAAATCTCTTTTGTGTGTTCTATGATTTAAAAATTGAAAAAATAATATTTATAATTCTTGAAGAATAATTGAAAAAAAAGAAATTGGGTTTGAGAGTACAAAATATTTTCAGGTAAGTTATAAATCATAATAATCCTTTTTTTTCATATAGATTATGTAGAATATCTAAGAATATAATCAAAATATTACAAGATATAATATGAAAATTAATTTTTCAACTAAATAACAAATTAAGTTTATCCTAACTTACTAAATAATGGATCAATATTCAAGCTATAGTTTAAATTATTTATAATTACTTGATTAATTTATTTATATAAATTATTAATTAAAATGTTATAATAAAAACTATTGTTAACTAATTAAATATTAAAATGTTGAACAACAACAACAGAATTCTTAATGTATTCTTTTATATCAAATAATTTTACATACTTTAATATTATTTTTCAATTATAATAATTTTAAAATTTAATAAAATGTCTTCATCTATACATCTTCATATAGGAGGAGCAGATGTAATGGTTGGAGATATCTTATGGAAATTATATTAAAAGAATAAAAGGACAAGAGGCCTCAAGTAATTATTTTAGAAGTTATACTTCGGGTGGAAATCTGATATATGAATGTTTAGAATCTATTCGAAAGGAAAATAGATTATGAAGATCAATCAGGTTTACTATAAAGATTAACAGAGGATTATGGAAAGAAAATAGAAATAATGCATTTGTATTGTATCCTTCCTCATTAATATCAATAACTTTATTGATAGTTATAATGCAGTCTATTCAACTCGTATGATGACTGAATATTGTAGTTCTGTTGTTGCATTTGATAATTAAGCCATCTAGAATGTTATTGATAATTAGACAGGATTGGATTATGTTGTTTATAATTTATTAAATAATGTAATTGCTTAGGTTATTAGCATATACACAGGTATAAGAGGACATAAAAATACTTGTAATAATATGATGTTTTCAAATATGTTTTCATATCCTTCACTTCATTTCCTAATCCCATCATATGGATCAAAGGCTAAGGATTAAATATAAATGAATTATAAATAATCTAGTTTGTAGAAAATTGATTTTTGAAATAAATCATTATTTTAATTTTAATGTTCAACCATATGAAGTTTAATTAAATTAAATAATTTTAAAGTAAAATGATAACTTATAAATTCCACTAGGTAATTTAGATAAATCAATTAACCAAATCATCTATGTATATTAGAACCAAATGTAAAACCATTCATCATTTACTTGATTAAAATATGAAATGAAGAATAATTATAAATAATAAAATAATTAAAATATGAATCAAATAATATTTTTGGAGCATTAACTAGTTATGGAAATTATTCAGTAACTTGGGATTAAGTTGGACAGAAATATCATAAATATGAATCATATTTAATTGAATATAATCAACAATAATTTTACAAATTTTAGATCATAATAATTGGATTATGATATATATATATACAAATGATTATTATTATGTAATTATATATGGCTCATTTATTTTAAAAATCATTTCAATTTGTTTTTGAAATCATACCTAATTTGCTCCAACTAGAAATGATTTTTTTAAATAGAAGATATTACTAAATTGGTCCTAAAAGCTATAAAAAATAGTTGTATATCCATAAGGTTATTAATTAACTAATTAAATTACTCTTATATTTAATGACAATATATTAGAATAGAAACTCACAAAAATAAGATCTATTTCACTCAAATCCGTGATGATAAAGCAATAAAATTTATTCAATATTTTTTTCTCTAATAAGAATTTAATACAGTGAATTTTACAATTAATAAAAATATATACTCGACTCGTAAACTTTATGATAAATGAATATCATTAATTCTTTAATTATTGATAAATTTTATAATACTCAAATTATTAAATTAGTTTCAGATCAATTATTGTGAGAGTAGAAATATTTAATAATTTAAATTTAACTATTAAATTAAAATAAACTAGATGCATAATTAATTTTCAAGCCCTGTTATTTTTTTTTAAAAAGAAAGTATAATATTATTGAAATTTCATGAATTTTTCTTTTATTATTTGAATTTGATCATTTCAATTGTGTGAAGATTAATACTTTCTAGCTTCAAAGGAAAAATTAAACAAATTTATTTTAAATCACTTCCGAAAGAGAAAACAATGGTGAGGTATAAAATTGGTGAAATAAAGTATTCTGAGACAATATCAGTTTATTTTTCTATTTTCTTTTTGAAATAAATGAATCAATCCTTTATGTTCTTTACTTTTATTAGGATCATCTGATTATCATAAAACATCATTTATATATATGTATGATTATTTATTTAATTTTGATCAAGAATCTACAACCAACCTTTTTTATAACAGTATAACAAATCAAATGCTGCCTTTTAATTAAGAAACAAATTGAAAGTAAATTGTTTTTCTAAATCCCTAATCCTTTTAACATCTAATCAGTATGTTTAGATTAATTCAATAAAAGTAAGATTGATTTCTCAATCCAATGACTTAGTTTAAACCTTTCAGCTTCCTTATATTCGGTATTACTGAGTAAAGGAATATCAAAAAGTATGATATCAACTTTAACTTAAAGGTATGGTCACAATTTTCTAACCATCATAAATTAACATGGTTGTATGTTTATTTATAAGTAATTTATAATGAAGACAAAATATCTTGAAAATTTTATCCTTTTATTTACTCCTTAAATTTTTATGATCAATCTAGATTTTCAAATTAATATTCAAGTCTCTTTTAAATGTACAACTAATTAGGATATCATAATTGAATATTTCAAATAATAAAGATTAGTAATTGATTCAAAATTGTACATGTCTAAAGCATTTTTTATTTTATACTTTTATCGAAGACATCTCTTTGGTTTTGAATTAATATTCTTTGATTTTTTTATTGACTCCAAAAATACTAATAATTCTTGAGATATTTATCTTTCTTCAATATTCATCAGTGGAAGTGTTAATCTATAAAAATCCGGAATTGGAAGCTATTGATTAAATAAATAAATTATCTAAAAAAAATGTGATAATTATTCCAATAGATTAATTCTTTTTAAATAATCTTTGGATGGTAGAATCTTTTTCAACTCTATTTTAATTATGATGAAAACATTTAACTTTTGAGAATAAACATAATCAGGTTCAATTATATCTGCTCAAATTCTAAACACTCCTGTTTTGGTATGTTGATCATATACTATAATACTGTTAACACCCAGTTCATCAATCAAATCATAAAGAACATTCTAATTCAAATAATTATTATTACTATTTTATGCTTATGATTAGTTACTCATTTATTTTTAAGATTGATTTTTATAATACCTTATTATGATATTTAAGAATTAGTTTGAAGTATATTACTTGGTTTTTGTATTTGTTATAATTATTTGATTGATTAAGATGATCTATTGGGTATTGCCTTCAAACTTAATTTTTGCAGATAAATTAATTGGGTTCGAAAATGGCTTCATATTTAATTTAATTTTTCTTGATAAATATAGGATTCTTATGAGATATGATATTTCAAATAAATAATACAGATAATTCAAATTAAATAGTAAAATAGTTTCTTGAATTTGAAGATTTCTTAAAGTTATCTTGGCTAATGTTAAATTTTTATAATAAAAATTTATTATTTTAATACCAACTTTTGAAGTTTCATAATAGTAGGTCGATCGGAGATTTAAATTAATAAAATTTTCCAGGATCTATGTTAAAGAGAATATTAAACTTTGGAAGATGAACTAATAGGGTTTAAGTTTATGGATATTTAATCATGTCAAGCAAAAAAGATGAATTAATTTGAATAAAAGCAGTAACACAATTATAGAAACTTGATATAGGAAAAGAACTCCTAAGATTCCGAAAACTGTCTCATAGAAAAACTAACAGTTAGACATAAGTCAAAGATGGAAATTAATTTCTCTAATAGAATTTCTATTTAAAATTTGTGATAGGAAGATACACTTCTTTAGACAATGATATATAAAAAGAACACTATCTTTATAAATTAATACTTAAATAACGATGGTTATGTCAAACATTTGCAGGCGATAATGGATAAAGTAAAAAACTAAGAAAAGTTAGGGATAGAGATACATAATTATTATGAAGTCTAATTAATTTTTACACATAATATTCAGAAGCTGAAATGAAAAGAATGGAGTAATTAGGAAAAAATATATCTAATGAAAAAATCCTTATATCAAATACAGATTATGAGAATAATCATGATACATTAATATAGACTAAAGATTATGCTATACTAAGATCCTCCTTTGATTTCTTTTGCTGGACAGAATGTAAGAAACTTATTAATTTCATTAAATTTAAGGATTATGATTTTCATAAAATTTTATGCTATTTGTGATATTCAGCCTTTTTACAAGAATACCAAATTGTGTGGCTTTTCAGAAGCAACAATCTATTTGAATAGGAGAAGACATTCACTAGAGATATAAATGTTAATAATAAAGCTTTATTTAATTAATCTATCATAATATATAATTATAATAATCTTATTATTCTGTTTATCTTGCCAAAGTATAAAAATTAGATATTCTTAAAAATGCTTGAAATTATTCAGTATTAATCCATTTATTTAACAAAATTAATTAATACTTTTCTATGTTTATTTATTTTAAGGAATCATAATAAATATTTTTTAATTTTTAATTTTTGGTTATATTAAATTATTTTTTTTCAAAATCTATAAGTTTATCAGATANAATTGAATATAATCAACAATAATTTTACAAATTTTAGATCATAATAATTGGATTATGATATATATATATACAAATGATTATTATTATGTAATTATATATGGCTCATTTATTTTAAAAATCATTTCAATTTGTTTTTGAAATCATACCTAATTTGCTCCAACTAGAAATGATTTTCTTAAATAGAAGATATTACAAAATTGGTCCTAAAAGCTATAAAAAATAGTTGTATATCCATAAGGTTATTAATTAACTAATTAAATTACTCTTATATTTAATCACAATATATTAGAATAGAAACTCACAAAAATAAGATCTATTTCACTCAAATCCGTAATAGATTAATTCTTTTTAAATAATCTTTGGGTGGTAGTATCTTTTTCAACTCTATTTTAATGATGATGAAAACATTTAACTTTTGAGAATAAACATAATCAGGTTCAATTATATCTGCTCAAATTCTAAACACTCCTGTTTTGGTATGTTGATCATATACTATAATACTGTTAACACCCAGTTCATCAATCAAATCATAAAGAACATTCTAATTCAAATAATTATTATTACTATTTTATGCTTATGATTAGTTACTCATTTATTTTTAAGATTGATTTTTATAATACCTTATTATGATATTTAAGAATTAGTTTGAAGTATATTACTTGGTTTTTGTATTTGTTATAATTATTTGATTGATTAAGATGATCTATTGGGTATTGCCTTCAAACTTAATTTTTGCATATAAATTAATTGGGTTCGAAAATGGCTTCATATTTAATTTAATTTTTCTTGATAAATATAGGATTCTTATGAGATATGATATTTCAAATAAATAATACAGATAATTCAAATTAAATAGTAAAATAGTTTCTTGAATTTGAAGATTTCTTAAAGTTATCTTGGCTAATGTTAAATTTTTATAATAAAAATTTATTATTTTAATACCAACTTTTGAAGTTTCATAATAGTAGGTCGATCGGAGATTTAAATTAATAAAATTTTCCAGGATCTATGTTAAAGAGAATATTAAACTTTGGAAGATGAACTAATAGGGTTTAAGTTTATGGATATTTAATCATGTCAAGCAAAAAAGATGAATTAATTTGAATAAAAGCAGTAACACAATTATAGAAACTTGATATAGGAAAAGAACTCCTAAGATTCCGAAAACTGTCTCATAGAAAAACTAACAGTTAGACATAAGTCAAAGATGGAAATTAATTTCTCTAATAGAATTTCTATTTAAAATTTGTGATAGGAAGATACACTTCTTTAGACAATGATATATAAAAAGAACACTATCTTTATAAATTAATACTTAAATAACGATGGTTATGTCAAACATTTGCAGGCGATAATGGATAAAGTAAAAAACTAAGAAAAGTTAGGGATAGAGATACATAATTATTATGAAGTCTAATTAATTTTTACACATAATATTCAGAAGCTGAAATGAAAAGAATGGAGTAATTAGGAAAAAATATATCTAATGAAAAAATCCTTATATCAAATACAGATTATGAGAATAATCATGATACATTAATATAGACTAAAGATTATGCTATACTAAGATCCTCCTTTGATTTCTTTTGCTGGACAGAATGTAAGAAACTTATTAATTTCATTAAATTTAAGGATTATGATTTTCATAAAATTTTATGCTATTTGTGATATTCAGCCTTTTTACAAGAATACCAAATTGTGTGGCTTTTCAGAAGCAACAATCTATTTGAATAGGAGAAGACATTCACTAGAGATATAAATGTTAATAATAAAGCTTTATTTAATTAATCTATCATAATATATAATTATAATAATCTTATTATTCTGTTTATCTTGCCAAAGTATAAAAATTAGATATTCTTAAAAATGCTTGAAATTATTCAGTATTAATCCATTTATTTAACAAAATTAATTAATACTTTTCTATGTTTATTTATTTTAAGGAATCATAATAAATATTTTTTAATTTTTAATTTTTGGTTATATTAAATTATTTTTTTTCAAAATCTATAAGTTTATCAGATA